GAACAATATGATAGATATACAATTGGTATTTTATTACGATTAAAAAGAAGGTATCAAATGAGAAAGAAGGATCTATGTATACTATATCTAAATGCTAAAAACTTCAATGATACTAAACTCAAATAGATCTTCAAAACTCCTTATGACATTTGTGATAAAGTAATGAATGACTTGTTTAAAGAATATTCTTCCAATTTTTCTACTAATCGTAAAAATTTCAAGATTAAGTTCTGTTTTAAAAAGGATACTCAACAGTCTATTACAGTCTTATCAACGCATTGGGTAGATCTCATGATGAATATTCATTTTTTTCTAAAATAAAATCATCAGAACCTCTTCCAAAAAAACTGAATATGATAGCCATCTTGTTATGAATCAACTTGATAAATATTATCTTTGTATACTCAGACCACTTAAAATATGGGCTGAAAACCAAAGTCCTATATTTCAAAAGGTTTTTATCTATTTTTTTTATTATTTATATTATCTATTAAATCAAAACTTCAATTAATTTTATATTTAATAATTTAATAGGAAGGATCAGAAGTGATTTCTTTGGATCCAGATGTACAGTATGTACATTTATGATCAGTTATGATCCAAGTGGAATAGCTGTTGAATGGGACACAAACGACATTGGCCGAGTTTACAGATTATGTTATGCATATGACAAACGCGTGATCAAATACATGAAAAAAAATAAGCGAAAAGTTACAGGTAAAATTTAATTATTTAATTATTTAATATTTGTTTACAATTTTAATATATTTACTACTTTTAACTGTAGATTAAATCCGTTGTCTTGTGAATAATTGTCATTATAAGCTGGCTAAATGGTTTTGCGAAAATTATCGTATAACATTACTACCCGAATTTCGCACTCAAGGAATGGTCCGACGTGGGCAACGACGCATTGGTTCCAAGACTGCTCGAGCCATGTGTACATGGTCACATTTTCGCTTTCGACAGCATTTGATCCATAAGTCACGTGAGTATCCATGAGGTCAAGTTGTTAATCTGTACAGAAGAATACACAAGGAAAAAACTTGCGGATTATGTGGCTATATTCATAATAAACTAGGTGAATTTTGATGTTCCCAATGTAAAATAATTCTTGATAGATATAATAGATATAAATGGTGCTCGTAATATTCTCTTACAGCTTAGGCTGACGCGGGAGCCTATTCCCTTACAGGACTTGTTATTGCCTTGCTTAATGTGGGGTTTTGTTAGTAATAATAGGTTTATTTGACTGTTACAATATCTTTAATAATAATGATTTTTTCGCATGGTGTGGAGTGGGATAAATTTTCTCTTAAACAAATCGTGAAAGAAAGTAAAAGAACAGTAAAAAATACTAAGAATAGCTTTCAGTCTGTATATATTTATATACAACTTTGAAAAAACAAGCCTTTTGCTCTTGGGAAGCATAACTTTCTTTTTGGTCATCACTTTAATTGAAACCTGATCTATACACTGTATATTCACGCTAATCCTTCGACATAGCTTGTATAAATTTTCTAAAGGTTGCTTAAGAATTTTTAAAAAAGTAATTTAAGTCGTCTGTTAGTACTCCTAACATTTTGTTTGCCGCTTCATAAAAATCGGAACGATATTAACAATGAATATTTATTATGGTTTGGTATCAACTTCTTGTAAATGTAGAGTAAAAAAATAACTTTATTGATAGTTATGAATACAAAATGATAAGGGAAAAAAAAATTTATCTTAATGTTTATAAATGTAAATCTATAAAAAAGAAATAAAAATAATCGTATATAAAAAAAATAAAAGTAAAATAAATGTTTTTGTGACAAACTATTTTAAGATAGAAGATCTACACAGCGGTTATTTCCTTTTAACACTCCCCACGATCAGTCAAATTGGAAAATGTTTGGAAAAAGCTGAAAGAAATGACTAACTGCGGAGATAAAAGGAAATAACTACTGTAGAGATCCAGAACCTTTAAATAATTCGAGAAAATTATCTATAATAGGAAAGAAAAAAAAATGAAATGTTAAAATTGTAATTTAAAAAGAGAAGACTTTGAACGAAAGCGGTTTTACTAAAGAAAGTACCTTCGGAAATAAATCCATAATAATCTAATGGCATGCCTGAGAATTGTGGTGGCATCATAATTTCGTCGAATAAAACTTTTTCGTTAAAGTTAGACCCGAGAAAAACGTTTTCCATGAAATCTGGAGGCATTTCAAAAGGTTGATCCAACGTTGAAAATTGTTGAAATTCTTCAGGGGGTGGCGGAGATGGTGTTGTATTGGTAGGCACAATCGAGCCTAATGTTGGGAAGTTAAGAGCGATGTCGGTCATATCTTGAGAAACGTTATTATCCGGAATGAAAATTTCTCCTGATTCGGAATTTTGCGGTGACCCCAAGCTGTTAAACAGATGAAGACAATATTCAAGTTTTTGCGGAGAACTGGAGACCGAGGAGGTGGAAGTGGACTCATTATCCAAAATATTATATCCTTCAAATTCGGACATTGTCGGGGAACTGAAGTAAGATGAATCAAAATCTATCACGTCCAACATATCTTGATCTTCAGAAATTTGGGACGAGTTAAAGGAGGAAGAGGTGGAATCCGAATTAGACACGGCGAATAAATCTTGAGAAATTCCTTTATTCAAAATGGCAAAATCTTCAAATTCATCAGAGAAGATTGGTGAATTTAGATAGGAAGAAAAAATTGAATCCAAATCGGAAATTTGAGGAGAAGCGGAAGGAGGAGGAGAAAAGGAAGATTCAGATGATAGAGAAGGAGAAGTGGAAGTGGAAGAGAAGTTTGAATAGAAAGAAGATTTATTTTGTTTTTGTTTATTTTTATGTTTTTTGGGAGGATTCGGTTTGTATTTATAACCTTTATGCTTTGCCATATGCCTTGCTTCAGCCATTCTAGCGAGCGCAGCATAACTTTCCTTCACGTCCTCTGACTCTACATTCCACCATTTGCCAACAATTTGCGAAATCATGGAAGATTTCATGCCGACAAAGCGGGGATCCGCACTTTTATCTCTACGATAAAGAATCCATGGGTTTTGACGACGTGGAACTTTTTTTATGGCGCCCTCTTTATTGTTTCTCAATGCAAGACGGGTTCTGGTAGAGTTATTCAATAATTCTTCGACGTCGAGATTAAATTTTGAACTGTAAACGATCTCTTCGTCGCTCTTCTTATTACCAAAGGACAAAACGTTGTTAGGGTCAGGTGGTACAACATGAACATTACCACTAGCATTTTTTCTGAAATTGTCCAAAGTAAAAACGTGTTGATATTTTTGTTGCTTAGTTTTGGCCATCTTTAAAATAAAACTAGTCAAAAGAAAGAAAGAAAAAAAAAAAAAAGGGTGTTGAAGTTGAAAGGTTGTAAGGTTGTTTAATTGGAGTGATATTTATTATGTTTTTTTTAAATGAAGAAAAAAAAAAGATGAATAAATTATGGAGGTATTTAAAACATTTTTTTTTTTTGTGCTAAAGGGAAAAAATAATAATAATAATAATAATCAGGTTCGGGTTTCCTACTTGACTTATTCTTTTCTTTTTTTGACCTTATTTATAAGAATTCAGGGAAATTTTTTTTTAAAGTTTTGATAAATGCGATGAAGGTCGCAAAGCAAGCATTTTTATATGTTCTAAAAAATTTGTTTTTGTTCATTAATTTGGAAAGTTACTCTACAGTAACGTATGACGGTCAAAGTTGATGTTATTGTTGTTGTTTTTTGGATAGTGTTACATTAATAAGGTACTCTGTTGCTCTACATAATATCTTCTACATTCGGTTTCTTTTAAAAAAAAAATTTGTTACACGAAGGATTAAAGATATGGCTTTAAAACAAATACGGATAATCCGCATAAGATAATAACAGAGGCTGACTTGTATGCGTCAAAAAAATTCGATTTTTTCATTATGCAATGCAAATGCACGAAAAAAAAGTGATAATTGTTTAAATTAAAAGAACTTTACAAATATATTGTCAAAAGGAAAGACAAATATAATGTTATAAATAAAGTTTGTAAAATAATACAACTAATTTTGAATGCTACAAGCATTATTTATTCCAAACATTTTAATAATACTTCTTTAAAGAAAGGAAATATGTAACTATTGTTAAAAACATACGAGTTTTACTGAACATTACATCATATAACTTTAAATATATAATGATAATCAAGTAGATAGCGTTAATCCCAATAAATTAACATTTGAAACTGTGAAACTCTCAGGTGCTAATTTTTACAGCTAACGCAATAAGATGTGGCTCACTATTAAATAAATAAATTATTCTTTTTAAATAAATAGAATCTTATCAATCAATTAATATATATATATATATTCACAATTTGACGTATTACGTGCCACATTCTAAATTGTAAAAAAAAAAAAATCCGAAAGCGAACAATTATAATAAGGTAACATATATTAAATCTTTCATTAGATATAATTTGTTTTCCAATTCATTTACTGTATTTATTGAATTTGGAATTGATATTACCAAAGGGAAAATAATGAATCCTCAAACTGACAGATCAAATAATGATAATGAAATTATGGAAGATTCGTTAAAAGGTTTCAAAAAAAGAAAATTTGGGACCTTTGCAATAGTATAGGGGAAACTGCCGGGAAAATAAAAATGAGCTAATGCTAAGTCTGAACATATTTTTAGTTTAAAAATCACATTTGGCATATAAAGGTCCTAAAATTATGTTTATATACCAAGATTTTATAAAATAAATAATATCTGTCAAAATTAATCAAGGAAATGATGAATGAAAGTTCATAATAAAAGATTAAAGTCTTTTACGTGTCCTATAATTTAGTATAAAAATAATGATGCAAAAATAATTGAAAAAATGTCTGTCAAACTTTAATCATAATTAAAAATGGATTCCTCCTTACAATTAGTATTATCAATTGCAAATTGGTTACATTGTTCCCTTTTTTTATTAAAGTTATTCAAAACGGAAAATTTTTATTTAAATTTCATTATATTAGATAAATCATATCGTCGTCATTTGAAATCATCAATTTGTTCCTGTCTTGCATCTTTTTCAACGCTGCGTTAACTTCTTCTCTGGTATATGCTTGATTTTCTGGTAAATTATTATTAATTTCTTGTATAAGGACATCAAATGAAATTGAATTTTCATGTGGAGCAGTAGATGTAATGCGGTTTAAGTGTTCTTGGAATAGTGTCATTCTAAAAAAGTATCATTCAAAAAAATACTTGAGAAATTTAAAGAAATTAATAATGGAATTATATTGAATTTTCAAATCATACCTTTCCGAAGTAATTATTTCCCTATTATCTTCAATAACAAGAGTATCAAAATCTAACTCAACAAATGATTGTTGACGCGTTTCATCTGTGTCCATAAGATCTTCTGTGTCCTTAGTTAGAGATTCGACCATTTTACCTTTACCTTTATCTTTGCGTGTTTCTTCACTTTGTTGTGAGCTATAAAAAAATAATAATAATTTTAAAATTAAAATAATAATAATAATAATCTCCTCGTCCAACAAAGTAAATACCTAGAATCATCTCTATCACTATCATCATTGATATCATCATCAGAATCAATTTCATCATTATCATTAACATTGGTCTTGCGCCTTTTACGCCGGTCTTTAACTGAAACTTCTTTAAAAAGTGCAAATCTGACCACTTCTTCTGCAACTTTAGCATCTTTGATTGTAACTCGTTTACCAAGACGCGCCTTTGCATGAGCTGTAGCAAGACGGAAAAGTGAATCTAAAGCACGTGGAGTCAAAGGTGACGTCTGAAATTTTATCAAATATTAAAATTAGCAAATAATATCACACAAGTTGCCATACTTAATCCATCGTTAAATTATGACTTACCTTTGCCTTTCCATCTTTCTCTTTCTCATTACGAAGAGTTACCCAAAGTTCGCAAAGGTATGCAGCAGCAGCTTTCCCTAATCTAGGTTCCTCACAACCTTTAGCGTACTGAATATATTTTTTGAGAAATTCTGATGAAAGAAAATTTGTCTGATCTGAATTTGTATCCCTTTGGTCATCGTTACCATCATTTGGTGATAAATCATAATGCATATAGACTGGAGTTGGTTCTGTGCTCTTCTCGGCCTCTTCCATAAAAATAGTTTGCCCAGAGTCTTCCTTAATTGGAACACCTAAAAAACAAATCGACGAAATGAAGAAAATTGTTAGTCCACTATATGTATATAAATCATATATATTTTAATATACACAACACAATGTAAATTTATACCTTCTTCCAAATTAGGTGGTCGATATTCGTGTAAACGCAAAACATGCTTGGAAATTAAACTGTCTCGTACTTCGTTTATTTCATCAGTTACGACGAATACAAGATCAAAACGGGATAACAATGAATCTGGTAGTGCAATATTATGAGAAGGATCCTTATGGATATTATACTAATGTTATATAACCGGAAATTATGATTAGTTTGAAACCCGTGTCATGTCAGCATTGTAAATTAGAAATCCTTGCAATGTATAAGTTACCTGTCCATAAATAGGATTCGCTGCGGCAATCACACTGCACCTTGCATTCAGAGAAGTGTGAATACCCGCTTTTGCAATTGTTACGGTTTGTTGTTCCATCACTTCATGTATAGCAACGCGGTCATTATCAATCATTTTATCAAATTCATCGATGCAGACGACACCTCGGTCTCCTGTTTTCATTTGAAGTTTCGAAAAAAGTCGATTAATATTTTGAAAATAATACTCACATTTAAAACAGATGCATACCGAGAACCATTGCACCGGCTTCCAAACATTTTTCTCCTATTAAATAATAAAAAATTATTAATGTGAAAGTGTAGAAACATATCACACACGCGCGCGCGCGTGCGCATATATATTTATTTCAATGATAGAAACCTGTTTCTTTATCCCTAGTAACTGCTGCTGTTAAACCTACACCGGTAGAACCACGACCAGTAGTCGCAATTGCAAGTGGTGCTATATTGAGAACACGTCGAAGGAGTTGCGATTTTGAAGTTGATGGATCACCAACCATTAAGATATTAATGTCACTATAAAAATCGGGTAAAATTTATTATGGATATGTATATTTAGAATTTTCGAGATTTTTTTTAAAAAAAGAAAAGTTACCCTCTTATGTGTGTTCCGCTAGACAAATTTTGTTCTTTTCCACCCAATAACATAAGTAATATCGCTTTCTTAATCATTTCATGCCCGTATATCGAAGGTGCCAAGGATCGCGAAAGCAACTCAAAAACGTTTCCATTTTTTGCAATTTTCTCAATATTTGCGGTATCAACATCTGTAATCGCTTTATATCCGATTTCACCGGAAAGAATGATAACATTGTTTGCAATAATTACGGTTCTTTATAAATAATAATAATAATAATAATAAAATTTCATTAGTAAAGTGAATAAGAAGAAAGAATAATAATTTGAGACATACTTAAATGTTGCAGAAGTTGACCCCTGAGTAGGCTTGCCTATCGCTCGGTAACAACCAGCTAATTGAATACGATCACCGGGTTTCACTTTATCTACTAGATCATCGTCCAAGATGATGTCAACGGACCTGGTCAACATTCCAGGTGGCATTTTCTCCGGCATTTCTTGAAGACAAATTGTCTGGTGATCACGGTACACCGAATATCCATATTCTGTTGTCAATGGATTACCATTTTCATCTTCCGTCGGATATGCGGAAGATGATGGAATTTGATTCCCGATTGATGTAGAATCATGGTACTCTTTGCTACAAAAATTGCCAGTCTTTTCACAATAATGAACGCTTTTAGCAAGTTTCAAGCGTACAAGCGAACCTAAATAAGATAAATAAATGTATATTTATAAATAAATTTTATCGAGTTGATATAATGAAATAACCATAATAAATATTCGTTTACATCGAGAGACAATTCCTTCAATGCAAATTAATTTTCCAAGATGAATGGATTTCAGTGTTCGCGGATTAACGTGATTATGAAATGTTCCGTTGAATCCGATGTAGTAATTTTGCTCTTCAATATTTTTTTCAATTCCGTCATTATTTCCTAGACCAATACTCAACGAAAGATTTTTTATTATGTTTTTTAAGGCTCTTTCAAATGCCGGTATCCATTCATTGGGTGATCCTTCTAACCTGCAAGTATAAAGAATTTTCGATGATGAGTTAGTATTTTTTTATAGAATATATATAAAAAAAATTAATAATAAATTTGTTGAAAAACATAACCATACTTTTTAGCGTTCTCTGCATGATAATAACGTAATTCGTTAAGATTAACAATATACCGATTTTCATTGTTTTGTAACATTTGAACGATCTCATCCTTGTAAAATTTTTCAAGTCCAAGCCTTTCCTATACAACAAGTTTAGAATTTAAATAATATGTTATAGTTTATAGCATGGTTGTAACTTTAGCACTGACATTTATAAGATAACGTGACGCGTTATGAAAACTTGGACGCGTTTAATACTTTAATACGCGGTTGAAACGCTGGACACTTGAAAACTATTTAAATTAAATCTGAACAAAAAATTGATACCTTATCTGCCTCTAAAAATTCTTCGAAAAAACGAACACGATCTAAAAAAGCTTCGTCTTGTAACTTTTGTAAGTCAGTATTTGAGGTCATTTTTTACGTTAGATCAGTCACAACTTATACAGATATATACCTAAATGAATTTAATCCCCGAAGTTGTTTAAATTTCGAAACGCGAAATTGCATATCTTACACGTGTAGAATTTACTTTTTTGACAACCGTTGAAATCGTTTTTTTTGGTCGATTAGTTGATTTGATTGGTCTTAAATATTGTACGACACAGTCACACATTTGAAGAGAATTTTTCTACCATTCGACAAATGCAAACTAAAACATTGATTGTATCTCATTTTGACGATAGCAGATTATAATTGATTCCATTTACGTTTCTGCTATCTGGAAACTTAAGAGCGTCAAAACCCCCAAGGTTTAGGACTGCGTATGCTAAAAACGATTTATCATTAATAACCTCTCCACGATTCTCTTTCGATAGCTTCTTTTGAGAGTGAACAGAATTTTAGTCACGTGCGCGTTTGTTTTCGCTTTTCAAACGCGTTCTATCGCTATTTTTTTTTTCATTTCAGGAAATAAAGGGTATCCTTAACCTGGGGGAACCGCAACTGTGTGTGTCACGTGATATATACTTTAAAAATATTTATTTATACATGGGGTTGGACGATAAGGGTCTACACCCCCGGAAATAAAGATTATGAAAATAATTCAATCACGTGCATAGATGCTGATCATATCCATGTAAATCTGATTAAAAAAATTTTTTTTTATTTTTATTTTATTTTTTCAACGTTCTAAAAAAAATTATTAAAAATGCATTTAATGTACTATCATGATGACAAGGGAAATCGAGTTTATACTCTCAAGGTAGTTTCATTGTTTTCCATAAAGTTAATAAATTAGTGATTAAAAAACCATAACTTTTTTTTATATAGAAATTCAATCTCCAAGGTGGAATCACTAAATCGGCTCACCCCGCAAGATTTTCACCGGACGATAAATTTTCTCGTCATCGAGTTACGTTGAAAAAACGATATAAGATCTTATTGACTCAAACCCCTGCAAAGCCTATGTAAAGCAATTAAAATTTATAAAAGATTGTTCTTTAATAGAAATCCCTTTTCACATCATCAAATTCTTTAACATAAAGATAATCATTTTAAATATTACGATTAAGAAACGTTTGATTATAAATAATTCTATATATGATACAAATAAAATCACTTTCTTTTCGTCATAAACCTCGTAGCTAGTTACGCGAAGGATTGAATAAATAATTAATTACTTTGGTAAATAGAAATAATGGGACAAAAAAAATATTATAAATGATCCGAACACATGTTTCCTTCATTTCCAATGGCAGAATACGATTACCTATTTATAAATATATTAAATATATTAAAGTATTATATATCTATCCGTTGAAATTAAATCCGAAAGCAACAACAACTATCTTCTATAAAAGAAGATAAATTAGAGCAGAATTGAATTATAATATTTCCACCTTTTCCCACCACTTCAATTTTTCTCCCGAAATAAATTTCCGCGAACTTTTCAACGAAAGCTCCATCTTCGTGTGGATCAAGACCTAGCCGACTTAAATGGTCTAGATTAAGAATTGCGGTTTCTTCTACATCATTGAACCCTAAGGGTAAGACCATCGGTTGTAATGTATTAAAAAGGTTTGTTGTTAAACCGTGAAAAAATCTATAAACAGAAGAATAATTTATTTCAGTTTTTCAGTTCTATCATCCTGATTGCAAAAATAATATCAATGATTTTCAAACCTTATCATTTCCACTTCGATTTCCGAATTTTCCCTTGAACCTTCAGCATTAGATGATTCATTAAGAATTTCATCAGATGATTCATCTCGATCGTCCAACAGAATTTCTCCGCCATCTTCTCCTTCATATTCATCATCATTTAATCTTTGATATCCGTCGCGTCCATACCACCAAAACCAACCACCAAACATCATCTTGCGCAAAGTGTCAGTTATATCTCCACCATCATCTTCTTCTTCATTACAATTGCTTACACCATATGATGCTAATAACTTTAGTAAAACTCTATAACGTCGAATATCCGTTGCATTGATTTTAGTAGATAATTGTGAACCAGGTGATGCGATCAATTCTGGTTGTTGATATTGATTTTCTTTGTGTGGCAAAATTACAAGCAGATCATAAAGATTTTTTTTATACTGAAAAATTAAGTCCGTTGTGCCTATAAATATTCAAAATTAAATTAAAAGATCAAACTAGAATTTATATAACATTGATGATTTTAAAGCTTACATGCAACGAAGCCACCTTCCGTAGCCTCCATCGTAGGAATATCACAAACTCCAACATTGAATAGTGGTTTCATCTTGTCTACTTTATATTTTAAAGTTCTACTAACGGATGACGATACATTGGAAATTAAACACGTTCCATAAACTTTCAAATTTTTTTTTAAAATAAAAAATATGTGAGAGAGAGAAATAAATAGGAAGTTGAAATTTAAATAATATGATTTGTAATTATGAAATACCAAAGTAACAAACTTCTTCTACTGGAGGCGGAGAATAGAACAAAATTCGTTTTTTGAGTAAAGCAGCTTTCCATAACAAGAAAATAGTAGGACCACATGAACGAACAAAATTTGGAAAATGATGAGCAGGATGCATAGGCTTTTTTTTTTTAGGAAAGTAAATATATTACCATAATGATGATAATGAGAATAAGAATCATAATCATAATAAGAAATTGAAAATAAACTTACTAGAACAGGCGCTAGATAGCTGATTGTACTCAGTTCAGAGGTTGATAAACACCTATTTCGTGAATACTGAGGTTTATTAAGTCGATATGAAGTAGATGGTCCGCTATCAGGCTCAAAAGACGAATCATTATCTGTTGAATCTAATACTATCCTATTTTTTTTAAAGTACTCGATCAAATTTGAATAATCATCCGAGAAATTGACATGCTTCCTACAATAGATTATAATTTTTCGAAATTTAAATTCTAATATATTAATTATAATATGATAAAACCATTTACATTATATTCATTATAACGTACAGTATTTCGTTTTGTAAAAACATTAAGTGATTCCAAGGACGACCGCATAACCCAGTTTCAGTTGTAGGTGACACTAATATACCCACAGCCGCCATATGAGCTCCTCGGTCTACGGATTGATCCAAAGTACTTTCATTCCGGAATAAACTTAACCCAACAAATGGTGGTCTGGTAAAGTATCTGTAAATGAATTCGCGTTATGTTTTGTGACATAAAATTTTTTGAACATATGCATATGGGCAAATCGTTGTATATTGGCATTTACATCACATCTTGGCTTACGGAATGTAATCCACTAGGCAATGACTGAAATTCGATTCCCTTAAGATCGAAATCTGTGTTCTAACTATACTTAGTAAATAAATAAAATTAGGTATAAAACAATTTAATATGAACCATTTGTTACCTTCCGGATACTGCCATTCAATTATGTTTCCTTTTTTTGTATCAAATCGAGTGACATACACAGCAACCAAGTTAGAAGCGTGTTCGTCTTCAGATTGTTTAATGCCTTTCGATAACGCATTCGACGATTCAACAATCTCATTATTGTTGAAATTTTGCGTCTTCCTTTAAAAAATATCGACATATTTCAAAAAAGATATATATATACTGTAATATTTAATTTAATATCAAGATAATGAAATAATTTTCTTAATATACGCGATTTTAGTTCCTGTATCTACGCTTATAGGTTCTACACTCTCATTATTATTATTACTGCATGTATAAGAAAATCTTGATTAAGCTTTATGATTTTTTTTCTTTATTTACTTAGTAATATAATACTTGCCTTTGATCATTTTCTAGAGGCCCTAAATTTCTAATAGGTTCAGTTGATAAAGGAGAAGCATTGTTCGAGGATCCACCATAGTCAGCACTTGTCATTTTTTTTTTTTTTTTTATAAAGAAGCAGATTTAAAAAAGAATTCTCGATACCCAGTTTAAAAAAGGCGCAAGATCTACAGATCACCATGTATGATATGTATGATAGTAATTATTGACGATCACTGATCGAGTTTTGGCAAATTCGTGCGACATTAAACCTGCATATTTAATATAGGCAGAATATTTTTGGTTGGTAATAAATTTTAAAAGGGAAAATATGCCACCAGCAGCAGATGCTAAATGGTAAAGTATTCTTCAAAATTATCTTAAGATATTACTTTCATTTACATCATAACATTAAATTGTTCTGTTATAGGATTAAGTTTTTGGTGGTTTGCTTGATAGTGGCATTTCTGGTGTTATTTTTTCTATTTTATATCAATCGGATATTTGCAAGCTTCTTATCTCGGTTGATACGAATATATACTTGGCGAAAATATCGTGCTTACATTGAAATTGGTGAGGAGTTTATATAGTGTTGCAAAGTTTCATGATCACCCATATTCTTTTGTATAATTGCTCTAGTAAAATTTAAATAAACTAATAAAATATTTTTTGGACCTGCTGTAAATGACACGATGATTAGAATCAATACAATTCGCTCCTCTTGCTGGACGAATATTATTTAAAAATGTAAAATATCGATCAATAAATCAATCATTTTTAATATTGAAAGGACACGTAACTGTTCGATATTGGCTATGGAAAGTTCGCAAGGAATGTCAAAGCCAAGATAATAATGGTAGCAATGCTACCGGTAATAATATTTTTATTAAAATTTACTTTAAAGGATATCTGAATTAGATTAGTTTCTGATTTTTCAACTTTACCTATAGATAATGTTCTACCTTGTCGGATCGTATGCTGTTTACAAGGAGTTGAATGGTTTGCATACAACAGAACACCCGCATATGATGCTGTAGATAGTATCATAAATAAAGCACTTAATAGTGAAGTTCATTCTGACCGTACGAGTACTTCGAACATGATCCGAAATGAAACTGAAGACATTACTGGTAAATCTTAAATTCTTTGAACAAAAAATAAAAAAAAATTCTTAATCGATTAACAATTTTATCTTTATCTTATAAAGTTAATCTCAATGGTAACGATATGGAATTTTCTGAAGAGTCTTTCTTTCAAAAGTTATTACCGATCGAGATAGATCTCGAAAATGGTTCCATCATCTTTGGCAATGCAAATACACCTTCACTTCTCGTTGCGGAATTTTCTCAAACTAATGGCATATACACTGCAGTAAAGGTGACGAATTAGATAAAAATCATGTTCATCTCAAGTTACCTCGCTAAGTTTCTTTCCTAATTGTAGTCACGTTCAAGGTTTGATTATTACAAGTCGTTCATTAAACTACAATTTCGAGAGCCCAAAATCCATCTGAGAAGGAATATTGATTATAAAGAACCTACTTTAAGTACTGGAGCTCGTACGGAAGCAGAAAATATGTTTCCAAGGTATGTATCAATTAAAAAAAAAAATCAAATATACAAAGATTGTGAGATTTAACATGGTAAAATCATTTTATACCTAAGGCAAACATTTAATGAAGGTTTTTTATTCGAGTTTCAAAACTTTTACAAAAAATATCTTATTTTTTGGAAACAATATGGACTTGAGGATGATGAAAACTCAATAGAATGGCATGGCCTTCCCAGATATCCTTTTTGTTTTTCGAAGCAAAAAAAAGAACTGATTTAAATTTTAACATGATAATGCTATAATGTCTATCCCTAACAATTTCACACATATCGAACGGATGACGGATTGAATTACAAAGACAAAGTGTCTGATGAATATGCTAAAGTTTCGACTATATTAACCTGTGATTTCCTGGAGATGATTTATTATGCTGATGTAGTCGGTATGTACCCTAAATAATTTATAATTGGACAAAGTTTATTTAAAATTCAATTTAATTAAAAGTTTTATGTAGGCAAGGTTCCCCGTAATCCTATACCGATTACTGATAGTGAGGAAATAGATATCGGAAATGGAGATTTGTCACCAGAATGGGGGGTGGACTTAATGTTTACAAGAGTTCAGCTGGATTATGGACCTTGGGCAGATCGCCAAAGGTGAATTTATGTTTACCTAAGCATCGTTAGAGATTAATTCGAATTTTCGAAGAAATTTTCTTTAATATTTTATCATATAAATAGGAGTATTCTTCAAAACTTTTTTTTCCCACCCGTATATCGTAATGGAGAACAGACTAAGAAGCTAAGTCCTGGACAGGATAGATTGCATACTTCATTGAAGATATTGATTCAGTTTAAGGGTCAAGTTACACTAAGAATTCCTTTGAAGGAGGCGTCAAAGGTTTTAGAATCTTTATATGTCTTTGATTTTATTTTATTTTATTATTATATTAATGTTTGATTTGTATAAGGATTGGAAATATTCTAATTCTGAAAGGAGAATAGAAGAATCACAAGGAAATAATAGGCCTTATGGGTGGTTGGAAGTCAAAATTAATAAAGATGATGGTGATGTCGTTGATGACGTTGATGAACACAACGATTACAATGATGACAATGAATACGATAATGATGACAATGATTCATTCATTAATATATCATTACCTATGGTATTCACAGAACAAGGATATTCTAATTCTTTGGAAATGGTACTGGAAAATGTGGTAATTCAGTCAAGTGTAAATTTTTCTCATTTACTAACTACGAAACAATGCAAAGTAAGTTGTGATATCAATGCTTGTAAATTGAATAAATATATTACTTTTATGCTGACTGTATTATTTACTAGTTAAAATGTGATTTAAAAAATCCCTTAATATGGAACCAAGCTCGCAAATGGAATTTTGATATGTATTTTACAGATGCAAAAATTTATTTGTTAAGGGATCATATCACTTTATTACAAGATTTAATAAAGGATTGGACTTCTGGGCCTTCTTTGGATCAATTGCACTTTATTCCTATGGAATATCAATTTAATCCGCGGTTCACAAATTTTGAACTATTTCTTTATGTTAACGAGCACAATATAATAAATAATCCAATGGACATTGAAGATAATGGTATGAAAATCTGTTCATCTGATTAAGTTAACAAAATGTTTCCATAATTATTAAATTTATAAATTTTTACTAGCATTCATTATTATAAAGGGACCACAATTAGTTGCAGAAGTAGTGATCCCTTTACTACACTATAACCAAGAAATTACTAAAATTCGTTTTAATGTTGAGGTAAGTATAGTAATAACCATCATCTTATTTTGAATTACTAATAACCTAATTGATTTTGCAGATCGATAAGGGTAGAGTTGCTATGTCGCCTCAGGTTTCTCAAACTCTTGGTGCTTTTTTGACAGGTGATAGTAAGGAATTTGTACAAATGTCGAGTTTTATGGTAGAGGGAACTTATCAATATTACAGTTTTGTTCACCCTAGTCATGTGGAGTCATTATCTTTAATAATAAAGGTATGATTAAAAAAAAGAAGAATTTTTATTTAACTAAAACAAAACATTCATGAATTTATATTATTATTTTAGGGAAAAGAAGTTAATCTGAAGCTCTTTGGATTTGTTATTAGATATTTCTTAATCCTTCAAATGAATTATTTTGGTAACTATATCAATTTTATGACATTGGATGAGTATACTAAACATGATCCAAAAAATACAAAGAAACCTCAAGAAGTTGTTAAGGTAAATGTTGTGTTTATTTAACAATTAAAATTCTAAATCAATAAATATATATTAACAAATTATATTAATGATTTTAGCCTCCCGCAGATCCTTTTGAAGTGTATATGATATTAAGTTTTGAAGATGGCACTTTAATATTACCCGAGAATTTATATAATGCCGATAATTCCTCAACAATACAATTTCATGAATTACAAGTGGAATTAAGAAATCTTGATATTTATATGGGTAATTTATAATAATCGAAATTATGATTGGTAGATTTATTTATAATAATGATAATGATTTTTTTAGACATGGATGTTACTGTTAGCCCATTAATGTGGACACTTAGTTCAGATGCTAGCCTTAAAAAGAATACGCTTAGGTCAAAGGTATCAGGAGAATCTAATAACTATTTATATATTGATGGTATTACTTTCTTTCTTCCTTACTTTTTCTTATATAAGCGGGAGGTTTGTTAGGAAAATGACCTTCTGAGACTATGATTTATATAGTCTAAGAAGGCCATTTTCCTAGCAAACCTTACAAATGATTGAGTCATTATAATAATTTTTTTTCATTTTTAGATTTAAACATTTATGCCCATAGATTATTCGGTCCATTACCTAAAACAACAACGTACGTATGCAATTGGGATATAAATATAGGGACAATATCTGGACAGTTAAAACCCTCATTTCTATTAAGTGCAACTACGTTTGCAAAGACATTTGTCTATCACTTTGTTGATAAAGAAAACGCGCTACCTGCGGAATATATGATTCCTCTCGACCCGGACGTTACTTTTTTAACTTTAGTTGTTAAAGAAGTTGACGTATCAATACGGGGTAGAGATAGCTTAACACAAATTCTGCTTACGGAAGGGTTAAACGTTAAATTTGATGATCTGGCAAATGCGAAATACACCCAAAAAGTAATATTTAATCTACCAGATATAATGATAAGGAGTTTAGCTATGGCAGTATCATCAATTGATTCCTCAAAGGATGTTGAAAATTATCCTTGGGTAGAAGTTGCAAGATTTGAATGTGCCTCTAACGTCACCTTATACCACACGACTTCTGGATGGCGCGAGAGATTTGAAAGTCAACAAGCATTTATAAAAAAAGAAGACAGTGAAACTTTAAGGGTTCCATTCCTTTATGGAAAAGGTAATAATAATCAAGATTTACTATCTAATGGCCAACACTTTGGTTCTCTTTATGTTCCTCCAATGCCTCCACCCTTACCAGGTATGTATTTATTCATTATTTTATCAGATGAGTATCTTCGTCATATTAAAATTTTTTTTTTAAAAAAAAAAAAATACTTATTGTTTTAATTAGATGATATGGATGATAGTACTATATTATGTAACGAAAGTACGAATTCATCTGTGGTTGATCTTTCCGCGAATCAATGCAGACGGGATATGTTGAATCTTGGTCGTCGTTACGGTTTTAAAGATTTTGATAGTTATGATGAAGAAAGTTGGCCAAGACCAGATGATGACAGGTTTGTCTCTTTGTTTATTTTATTATTTCTTTTTTTCAAAATAGAAAAAAAATACATAATTTTAAATAAATTTCTTAGCTTCTCTATTGATGAATCTGGTGTCAGTGTGTCTAATGCTTCATTTGTGACTGCATCTGACGGTGATGAGGAAGACGAAATCGATTTTATTGACGAACTTTGTAACACACATATTAAAATCGGTGGAGATTCTGATATCGAATACGAAGACGAATTAGATCAATCACCTATTTATGAACCACAATATCCAAATTCACCGCCATTGCCACGATCTATTCCCTACGGAAATTATTTGAGAAGATATAAAGTGACTTCTAAAAGATCTTCTCCGGCTCCTTTTTCAAGTTCATTTCTTCGACCTTCACGTACATTGTTTGAACCTGCTAGGGTATTTATAGTTTCATTATTACAAAAGTCTTTCGTTAGTTTTAGTTAATTTATTTATTAACTTTGAAATTCTTTCCTTTTAGTCAGAGAAACCTTTGTCTCCGGATGACGAAAACAGCCAAAGCTATAAGTCTTCGCCATTTACAAAAACGAGGAGTTCAAGCACCGAATCATCCGAAGCTTGTCAACTCGAAGATGAAATAACGTCATCACAGAACAATGATACCGAAGAAAAATCAACAATCATATTTGAAACAACAAAATGTATCAAAGTATTTTTAACACCAATTTTCTTAAAAATTGTTAAAGAATTCCTTGAGGCAATCAAAGATGAGGTTTGTAAGAAAGCCTTGAAGCTTTTCTTTTCTTTTCTTTTTTTTACATTTCCTTCATAGATGTTATTAAGTTACATATTAAAAATATTTATATTAAACCATCTCATTATAGAATTGGAATTTAGAAGCTATGCTAGATAAAATTCAAATAGATTATGTTGATGAACTTACAAAATTGTTTCCATTCAAATATACAACTATAAGATATGCTGTTTCAATTCCTCGTGTGCACTTTCATTTCATACAAGATGTTCTTCTTCCTGATGATTTAACAAATGTAAACGATGAACATTCTGATATTAGAACAAGATATGACTTGACGGATACCATTTTATGTGCGGCCGCAGACTTGATTTTTGATCAGGCTTTATTAACGGGCCTGTTAAAATTTGAAGATAAAAAATTTGATAGTAAAGATAAAAAAAACTTTCGTCAATCCTTAGAGCTGATTGAATCGCGGGCCAATATTGACTTTGATGCATTAAAACTTAACGTGCGATTCGTCGCTGGTTCCAATTCTGTTGCTATATTTGGGATTCCCGAGTATTTGCATCAATTTAAAGAATCCGGATTTATGTCTTCCGATATTTTGGATAATGAACCCGTTGTTTTGATCGTCTCATTAGAACAATTTAAACTTAAATGGTTGGGATGTATGCAACCTAATTATTTTTCCTTTGATATAGATAATATTGGTTGTATCTTTATAAGTCAATCCGCTGAAATTTTATTAGGTGGTATTTATTGGTGGTTAGTATTTGCAGAAGATCTAGCGAATTTATTGAAAAAATTTCAAACGCATCGAACTCGACAACAGCAAGTTTTAGTCTATGAAATTGCTAAATTCTCGGAAAAAGCTAGAATTGAAAGCGATCCACCTTATTTGACTCGCCCATCTCATGTTTTAAGATTAGGAACCAAGAATTTTAAAAATGATGATGGTTGGAAAATCCTTGGTCGTGTTAGACATTGTAAGAGACTAATGGAACGCGAACAAATTGATAATTTACATACCAAATTGAATAGTAATAATAGTGCTCCCTTGTTATCAACGGAACCAAATGATATGTATGAACGAGTTGTACGCGTTTTTTCGGGGTGGAGACATTGGGAAATGGAAAATTTGTCAAATTGTATTCTATTCATTGAACTATATCAAAATCAAACCGAAAACTTGAATAGAACGTCTATTAATACTATGAATAACATTTATCGATTCTTAACAACTTCAACAAATATTGCTAAAGTGCGAATTCAAAGTATTTTTTTATCCGTTTGGGATGGACAAAAAGAGAATTCTGTGACTGTTAACCCTATAGAATTAAATTTGGAAACAACCTTTCATAAGGATAACTTTTCATCTTCTGAGGTTACTCGAAAACAGACAGATTTAAATTCAAATAACACGGAGCAAGAACCTTCTCAGATTATTACCGCTGGAAATTTGGATGTAATTTTACGAATTGGAATTGATCATATGGAATTGTATGTGAATCCGGATATCCTTGCCTTTGCAAAGCATTGGCTTGAAGTTCATAGGATATTCAGTTCAAAATTTCAATCTCAACCTGAAGAAGTTGTTTCCTCTACAAAGGCACATAAGCACAAGTCAACAACTACTATCACTAGCTTTCATGATGTAAAAATATCAAAGATCAAAGAAAAGAAACGCAAGGACACTGCCGAATCAATTTCATCTGATCCAATAAGAGATCTATTGTCGCGTCTTAATATTTGTGCGCGTGGAATTTTTGTTCTCAAAACAATTATTATCAAAGCATCGGTTCAAAATCTTATGGCACAAACTCAATTAACAAACATACAAGTTTCTAGTTGGTTGAATAATCCTCAATTATTGAATTCTGGTGAAAAATCAGATTTAGAAAATGTGTCAGTTAATAAAAGTACTTTATATCCAGGATCGAAAGGTAGTGGTAGCAAAGGTTCAAATATGTTGATCTTCACAATTATTGCGGGTATCGGACACATATTTGCTAGTATTACTGAGAGCAGTTCATCTGGCACCAATAATAACTTGTTCTCGATAGAATTCTCTAGAATAAGTTCTAACACTTCACTTAGTTTATTAACCCCTGGCCGACAAAAGAGTAAAATTGAAATTGAACCACGTAAAGTTTTAAACATTTTATTGACACTTGAAACGATCTCGGTTAAATTACCTCACAGTCTTTTAAAGTTATATCATTTCTTTGAAGAATGGAGATCCGAAAACCTTTCCCGTTATGACTTTTTGTACAATAGACTGTTAGATGAATTAGAAGAAAAGCGAAAGTCAACTCCAAAATATAAACCCGATAATCGTGAAATTCGTATATCAACGGAAAAGAATTCGCGAAATTCTTTGGAAATAAGTTTTCAATTCTTGATGAAAAAATTTTCAATTCAAACTCATATGTTACCATCTTTAAGATTTCATTATGACGCATGGGATTTAATTATCTTGATTGAAAAGCGTGCATCAGTTCATGGTGATAGGTTGATAAATTATTCTGGACAACTAAAAAAGCAATTCATTCATTTTGTTACGAGGCAAAAAAACAAATCCAAATCTGCTGCAACAGTTGACGAAGAGACTAATGATAATCATCAAAAAGGTGCTTTTACTATACCAGCAATAAGAGCGACTGGTAACATTAAACCATACGATTCTCGAAAATCTTGTATGTCTACTAAGAAAACGGCAGTTTCGCCTACTAGTTCAATCCCACCTCACAAGTATTCAAAACTCGAGTCTTTAGTGACATTGGATTTCGTTAAATTAAATCTAAATGTGAACATTATTGATAATTTGTTGACGGCACACTCAACTCTTGGAAGTGAATTGAATGATGTGCTGGATATGTTCCTGTTTTCGTCTAAAAGGCTTAAGGAACGTGGAGGTAATTTAAATGAGAAAGCTTCTACGTCTGTCACTGCAACTTCGCCTAAAGAAAACGATATATTATTTTATAACTTAACAATATCTTTGAGGGGTCTCAGAATATCAGCAATGAGTCCAACCGCCATTGGATTTTTTGAAACGAATATTCTTAATGGCCTTATTTCGAATGTTCCCTTGACAGGTATTGAAAAATCCCCAAAGGTTCAATGGAAATTTTCTGCGCAGAACTTGTCTCTGTCATTAAATCATAATACTGGAGTTATAAGTCAAGCAGAGGCTGATGACGATATTCGTAAATATCGAATCGCTTATATTATGATTGATTTGGTATTGCAAAATTTCAAAACTCGAAAAGAAAATTCTGAATCTATTAGTAAATATAATGAGTGTGACGAATCTATCGAACCCTACTTTCTTAAGTTATTAAAAGTTCACGCTGTAATGCAACCAATTGCACTCGGTCGTTTAATGGATCTGTACGTTTACTATAGTGGCGAATTAGAGCGTAGGAAAAAGATGAAAGCGTCCGATATTAACAAATTGACCGCTAATACGCGAAGAATTTTAAATTCACTTGATGTTGAGATGCCTAAATATAAATCAAAGAGTAAATCTTTTTTGGATGAGAAAGTTATATCACTTGAAGTAACAAGATTTGCAATTGCACTTCCTCTCGTTTTAAGTGAAGATTTAATATCCACGGCTGCACAAATTCCTGCATTCCTTTTTTCAATTTCTTCCATGAATTTCTTGACGAGAAAGTGGAAATCTAATTGTGCAATTCTCAGAGATTTGAGCCTTCAATTTGTTACTCAATTTGACCAAGGAAATGAGAATCATTTTTCATATGATTTTCATACCAAAATGAATTTAATATTAATTCCTGAAATTTCTTGTGAAGGACATACTACTGGTACGATAGATAAGAAAAAGGTTTATGTTGAATCAAGAGTAGAAGGTTTTGAAATAGATGTTGGTGGAAATATTGTTAATCATATAAATAGTCTTGGCGAGATTTACGCAGCGAGTCGAGAAAGGTTAGAAACCTTCACCGCCGAAGCTAATTTTAACCTTGGATCTCAATCACCGAAATCTTCAGAGTCGGAGAATGGTGAATTAGATAATGGTTCAGGTTCTAACTTTATTGAACTCGAAGTTGACGCTACGTTCACGGCCAAAAGTGGTACAATAAAATTATATCCAAAGAATTATTTTACAAAACATCATAGTAGAAGACCGACCGGAAGCAAAGTTCATGATCGTTCAAGATCTGCACGTGGTTCCCATGGAAGCATTGCTTCTATTCCTCTTCCACGTCTTAATTTAGATGGATTGTCCAATTATGCTCCTACAAATTTAGATGATTTGACAAGGCAAGGAGAACATGGTATAGATATCATAGTAATACCAGGTCTTAGTTTAAATACCTTTTACCGCACGACAATCGGACAAAGGGTCGTCGTTCCTTCTTCAGATTCATTAACAAAGAGAGTTCATGTTGAACTTATAATTCACCCAAGTAAAAATATGTTTTACCCTTCACTGGTACCATTTTTTAAAGACATTATTGATGGTCTGAAGATTGGAGTTCAACGATCCAGTGATAAAAAAGCAATCGCGGTTCAGGAAAGTTCATCTTCAATTCAAGGCATGAACATAACATGTTATTTCAGACTTTCACGTACTACGTTTGACCTTAGCTGTCAGCCTGCTTCTAAAGTTCTTTGTTCTTTAAAATGGGAAGAAGGAAATTTTCTTATTTCCTCTAATACTGCTGAAGAAGCAGCTCAAAGTGTAACGTGTGTGGGAAAGATTAGGGGCGCATCTGGAAATATTCGCCATTCATTTTCTCCTGAAGATTGTGTTAAAGCCGAGACAAAAGACATTTCCTTCAATGCAACTTTAATGAGCAGAAGAACGGAAAGTGTCTCTGATGATTCTATTTCTATAATCGTCGAACTACCGCAAATTGCAGCGGATTTAAACATCCGTCATCTTCAAGATTTATTACTTTTAAAGACCATCTGGATCGATCAAGCTACGAAATTATATGAAGTCAGTAGTTTAAACTCTCAGCAACCTTCTCGACCCGTAAGCGGTGAAGATATTAATGGGGGTAAAGCTCCATTATTTCCATCATCACCGACACGCTCTATCACTCCATTATCAGAAAATGAAACAAAGGTCAAACCTTACTCGGTTTATGTGATAGTTAAGTTGAATCAACTAGATTTATCCAGCGATTTAGGTCAAGCGATCGGAAAAATTCGATTTAACACTAAAAACATACAAGTTTGTACGAAAAACGTTCCCGGATCGTTGAAAGAAGCTACCGCTTCTATAGATAATCTTGATATTCAATGTGAAGGTCGTCTCACCGGTTCCGCCAACATGAAAGGACTTACATTTACAACAATTTTAGGAATTCCTCCAAGTTCAGAAACGGATGGTTTAACTTGTGTGACAAATCTGTTGTTTAAAACCGAAAGAATTCAATCTTCTTTGGAATACGAATATCAAAAAATTTTGGTACTGGACGCTGACCCAATGCAATTTAAATTAGCAGATAGTTGGAAAATTATTTCGCCCGAAAAAGCATCGGTTTTGATACATGCGAAAGTTTCTATTAAACGTATTCAAGCAATTGTTTCTATTAAAACGATACCAGTTTTCCTTTATATGATGAATAAACTTTTAAATTTAGTGGAAGAAAAGAGAATTTCTGCCTCTAATGTCATATCAAATTCTAAGCGATCATCTCCTTTGAATCCAAATTCTCAATCGCAAACAATCGAACCTAATAGACTTACCTTACCAGAAACGAGTTTAAAGTCTTCCTCTTTCAAAGAGTTATCAGTTGGTGGGCTATTTGTTTATCCGGTAGGAAAAATAACGATAGCGATGGAGAAAGTACATTTAACTATTTTTCCAAATCATTTCCATGATACAGATTGCGTTCAGACCAGATTTGATGGACTTCTTGTGGATATGAAAAGATCGATTAGAGAAGATAATCGTATTAACAGGGAACTTGATATGCAGCTTAATGGTATTGCATTATTAAAAAGCAATTGTAAGAAATTAAATCACAAACATGAAAAGTCATTCACATTTCAAAATTGGTTTGATCATGTTGAGACCACCTCTTCAAAGAATATTTTCACTCTTCCGAATACTCATTTAATAATGGATACCACACAAGGTATTGAAAGTAATATTGTGGATCATAAGTTTGCCGTTGATTTTAAAGGAAAAGTTGATGTAGCTTTAAATTTTGGATTAATAAGATATCTTCAAGAATTGGGAGCATCATACAAAGAACAATTAAGAAAGAATGCAGTTGGTACAACCGGAGAACTTCCTAGATCACCAATTATTCCAATTGTAACCCCTTTAACTCCTGGTTCAACACCTATTGAATTTTCTAAATCTGATTCTTTGATACAAGTTCAAACCTCACCAACATTACCTGAATCACCAAAAGAGTTGAAAGCAATTCAGTTCAATGAAAATGAAGATTCAAAAGAATCAAAAAAGAAGGATGCTTTTATTTTTAACCCAATTGAACCAGTAAAATTGGAACCACAATTAAGAATTTTGGGAGATGCCACACCTCCACTAGAATGGGTTGGAGTTCAAAGGGCTAAAGTTCCAGGATTCGTTCATACGGAAATCACAATGAATTTAGATGAAATTATAAATCAAATTACTAATGAATCAGTCAAAGCAGCCAAAGCATTATTATAATTATAGGGTTTAGTAACTATTATAATAATTATTAATTTTAATAATGATTTTGTATTATTCGAGATTTATTTTTATTTTTTTAGGTTTAAAATAATCACAATAATAAAAATTCTAATTAATTCTTAATTCTATAATTTAAAAACTTGGAAATCAAAAGGTTAAAATTTTCTCATATAATTCCATCATCCAACTTTATTACTTGTTTCTTTGGTTAGAAGATTAGGAATGATTCGTATGCATTATTATCTATTATTACTAGCAAGTTGATAATTGAAACCATTCAGGTGAACTCTCTATTAAAACGATTCAAGTAAATGTATTAATCATATTAAAAGCTTTATGAAATGATCTAATCAGTATCTTTTTTCTCGAGAAATTAACTCTTACATTATACGAAGTCCTCTAAGAGACTAATTAACAGGTCAATCCAATCTGATATGAAAATCATATAAAAAAAGTTTGCCTAATAAATATTAAACTTCGATAGTCACGTAATTTATATAAATTTCAGAACTGGTTCGATTTGTCGTTTTCATTCAATTTTTGCAGCGTTTGTTTGTTATTTCTGTGTCTTGAGTGTAAAGTCTATATCACGAATTTGACTTTATTGATCCATATTTTCGTTTCTTTCTTAGTACTTTGTATTTATCTAAATTTTCATTCTATGAAATAGATTTTTATTTCATTCCAGAACAAAGAAAGTTCCGCTTAGTCATTGGCATTTGTCTTTATTAACTATCGCAAAATCTCATATTTTGCGTTACTTATATATGTAAGAATTATTTTTAAAAACAAAAAAGAAAAAATTAATTGTAAACAAATGAAATGAAAAAAGTAATTTTTTAGATTATATATATGTATATATAATATATATTCATTTCCTACCATATGTAGCAGGATATTCATTTTTTTTTTTTTTTTTTTAAAAGGATGATAATAATAATAATAATAATAGTAATTATTTGTTAAGATCCAAAAGTTCATTTAACAATATATCCACAAACTTTCATTTATATTTCTATGTTTCCAAGGATTTTAACATATCTACAATTTCTAAAAACGAATCCCCAATGGTTCTTCCTTGATTTTCGAGTGAAGAGGAACTCATTAACATTTGTCCACTTACGTGACCATTTGCCGTTGCCTCTTCACCGACTAATTCATTGAAATGTACGAACTGCTGCAGAAGATTAATTAAAGAACTGACCGATCGATCCGGCAATCGCTGTAAAAGAAGAATCAATTGCAAATTAAGGAATAATATCAAACAATACAAAATTAAAACTATAATGGTTTTGATATTAATATATAAGAGAAGGATATCAATTATCAATCGTTGATTATAATCGTTATTTTTTATTAATAAGCCAAGCAATACAGCCATATATGCTGCCGCGATATTGCTATCAGTCTGTAAAATGAAAAGAAAAATGAAAACGAAATTTAGTTACAAATTATTAAAATGTTCCACAGAAACGAATTACAATAACAAACCTTATCATCATCTTTTCCAAGCTGATAGTTATATAAGGAAACAAGACAAGATACAGCCGATACACGCGGCAAACATGTACAAGTACGCATACACTTTCGCGAACCAGGACACATTGGATATTGATCTAATTGAATCATATTAGAGAAGATTAAAATATCGACAAATAAATAATTGTTTTATGAATATCTTAAAAACACTCACCAACTTTCCGGAATTCATCTTGGTTATTTGGATCAGTTTCAACCAAATTGATGAGCAGCCCAATACTAAGTAATAACACATCAAACTTGATAGCATCTACAGATTCTGAATTCTCGATACTATCTATTTCCATCATGAAAGGAACCGTATTATTTATAATAGACTCTTCCCTAGGAAGTTGTCCAACAGTGGCCAATCTCATCAAAATCGACATTCCTAATTGAGACCCAACATATTGACAAGCAGATAGATTTTCATTGGTCAAATTAATCAATACTTTAAGAGTGGCGAGTAAACATTCTAATACTAGAAAATATAAGTCGTAATTTAGCAAATATATATACAATATGTTTATATTGCAACATAAAAAAATCTTTGCTATTAAGTTACCAAAGGATAATACTTCTGCACTATTATCAAAGGATTCTACTTGACAATATAGCAATAATTCTAAAAGCATGTGTAAAATATCTCTATCTTCTACTATATATATTTGATTTTCAGAACAGAAAAGAGTAGCACACTCTAAAATTTTCAAACACTGTTCAATTAATTTAAAATCTAAGGTATCTTGTTGTGAGCTCTTCCAATATGTATAAAAAATTTTGATTAATTATTGAAAACATTTGATTTAACGGACTTATTTGAATATAATGAAAATTCATAAACTCACCTTACCATTCTCAATTGCTGATAATAACCCATCTACTAATTCAAGTTCAGATTTTAGGATTTTAATCACTGCTAGTAACCCTCCTGAAGTGCGCATTCTTCTTTTTATTTCATTTTCATGACGAGTTTTTAATGTAGATAGGGAAGAAAGTATACGAAGAGCTATGGATTTAAGCGAAATCTATTATGAAGAATAGCAATAATAAGCGCTTTAATAAGATTCAGTTCTTCAGAATAAATAAAGAATAATAATATTACTATTATTCCTACCTGAGAATTCTCCTTGAAGATTGTTGATTTAAGTATAATTTCTTTAAAGTCATCAACCTTTAAACATATATAGATATATATATAAACGGAAAAAAAATACATTAATAAATGACATTGCACAAATTAAATATATTTGTTAATTAAGCATTATTTACCAATAACTTTTCCGATTTTTTCAAGGAATCGTAATCAGTGCTCAAAGGATCTGATGAGGAGTTTAATAAATTCACAATAAATCCCACAAAATCGTGTTCCTTAATCAAATGAATTGAACTATTTTTGTCCTCCATAAATATACATATGATGAATGAAAATAAACATCTAATTAACTATATAAGATGATATTATATTAATAAAAAAATATATTTATTAAAACAATTTGTATATTAAGGAATCATGACTCTTACCGAATCTTGATTTCTATCTAATATGGTATAAATTTTAGAAATATAATTATGTGCACGAATTTTGAGTAGAAAATCGCCATCCAATAATTTTGATAACAGATCCATCACACTGAAAACAAAAATAAGTTAATTTCTAAAAATAAGGAAAATGTTTGAAATTTTATTGAAAAAACTTACCTGTTTCTACGAACATTTATTGATCGATTTTCAATTCCGCCGAAAATATAGTCCATTTCATCTGTGAAGCTTGTGTTATCTCCAACTTCGCGAAGTTCACGTGAACTTTTCAATAAAATTTTTTTTCTCGATTTATAGTGTTTTAAAGCATGTTTCTTAGGCGTCTACAATGAATACAGATATCAATTATAATTCTTAAGTAAACGATGAATTAAATTTACAAACCAGATTGTCATTAATGTCATCATCAGTTAGGTCCATGTCAAAGCTGGTCCGTGAAGGAATGAATTGATCAATTAAAATCGAATCTAAATCTTGCCCTAAAATTGTTCGACCTTTTCCATAAGTCTTTTGACCACCAATAGCACTTCCACCAGAAATACTATATGAAGGTGAAGCAGTGCTTGGAAAACCAAAAACGGATTCGGAAGACGCCGATTTTGTAGCAGTTTTTGTTGTCGTGGAATGTTTCGTTCTTCGAATTTTTCTATCATATGTCATTGTAATTTTGGGTTTTGGCATTGTTGTGTAGTTTGTCATGTGAACTGTGTTTATCTAATAATAAAATCAAGTAAAAGCAGTTAGTAAAATAAACCTAAACTGTTTGTTAATAGCTTGCATTTTAAAACTTTATCAAAGGTTACGGCATTATTTACATGAAGTTGTAATAGTGTTTTCAATTAATGTCAACCTACAGCTCTGTATTTGGAATCTGTTTAAAAAAGTTGAAAACATTTAGCACAGAGAGTAAATACGAAAGGGGCTAGAATTTGTTCTACGTTAACCATATTTACCTAACATAAAGAGCAAGGCTAACGAGTTCGGTGTACTAATCGTTTCTGGAAAGAAATTAACTTTCGTTTGATCTTAAAAAAAAAATATATTGATCGTTTTTGTTTGTGTAATATAATTTGAGAGTATTTAGAAGTTACACGATCTTGTTAACGACAATGTTTTTGATTCTCCAATCAAAATCGTGAATTTTAAAATGCAAACAAAAGAGGTTAACTAAATCAATTAGCAGTTAATAATTTTTTTGGCTCAAAATGATCGACTGTCAATTATTACATATCACATCCATCTCAGCCACATAAATTGCGCGATTATTTTTTTTTTCTAAAGAAAATTCTCGAATTTAAATAAATAATATCATAAAATAAATTAATCAAATTATTTAAGAAAAAAATTTAACCTATTATTAAAATATAATTGATTGATTTAATTAGTCCGAAACGAAGTGAAGGACTATATATGTCGCCCGCTCAAAAATTAAGTCGATGCTGATTGGCTTTTGCAATAGTTAAGATCGTTCCGGGTCATCGTTCCCTAGTAAATAAAATTTATAAAAAAAAAGGATATTATACAAATCTGTATAATATAGTTTTGAATATATGTATATTCTAATTTATTTTATTTAATGTATATAAGATATATATCTTTTAAAATTATATGTTGTAGAATCAAGAAATCATAAAACAGTATATCATATAACTTTATTAATGAAAAAGAAACATTATGAAGAAATTATAACATTAAGAGATTAGGAAATAACTAATCAAATTGAAGGTTATAATAGATGATCCCTTAATAAGAAATAAAAAAGAATACTGTTAACTTCATTTTTATTTTTGAAATAAAATAAAAACTTTTAATACATTTCTAAAATCATTTGTTAATAAAATAAAACAATTAAAAAGTAAGTACTTATTAAAATACTTATTATTATACAAAAAAGACTTTGAAGATCAATATTACAAAAATGATAATGATCATTTAAG